CTCCGGGTTCACACTCTGCATCAATCTCCCCCAGTGCTGGAGAATTTCATTATATATATATATATATACACATATACACGTATATATACATACACACACACACATACACGTAGATACCTATTTCAAGTCCCTCGTTGTCTGTTGCTGGTTGGCACAGTGCTTGCACTCATGAGGGTACTCACGGGAAGCATTTGAGCTGGTGGTAGTAACATACATGTTTAATTTCAAAGGATGGAAGGGCAGCTCTTGTAACTGTGTGTGAAGACAGAGTGATCATTAGTAGATGTTTATTGAAGTTTACCAGCTCTGAAAAAAATGGGTTTCTCTTTGCCATCGGACTTAATTTGTCAGTAATTATGTTCCTAATATAGAAATCATTTGGCATTTATTTGCCATAATAAAACTTCCCATTGCATTTAAATTCAATGTGAAGATTTAAGTATATTTAGGAGACACAGCTGAAGACCTGAAATTAAATATTCCTGGTTTCCTTTTCCAAACAAGACAAACTCAGATAAATGCTAGCAGTCAGGTCCGTGTGTGAAGATCTGTGAGCAGGAGTAGCTGCATGTGCACACACAGAGAGAGAGATGGTAGCCCTTGTCATATGGACAACTCCTTCAGCATCTCCTCATTGACCTGTCCAGGGCACTGGTCCTGTGGGTGATGTTCATGCTACTTTACACACCTAAGCTGTTGAAGAAAAACTACAGGTCTTAAGATCACCGTCAGCTATCTTGGTTTTCTGTACAGCTTGCACTGACTTTCAAAATGTTTGCTTTAATGGTTGTGGTAGCAGGATGTTGATAACTGGGCTGTTTCCAGCTGAGCTGGTGCTTAGGAGCAACCCAGGCTGCAGACGTAGGTTAGCACAGCTGGAGCTGGGCCAGCCCAGAAGGCCACATCCTGGCCTGGTTACACCATTGTCCCCAGCCTTGCTGTGTTTAAAGCAGACTGGGTGGGCAAACTTGCTATACTTAATTGCAGTTAAAAGACCAGGCCCAAGAAACACCTCCCATGTCTGCCTGCTGGTGGGTGAGCAGCTGCAGCTGTGGTAGCAATGTGTGGATGGTCTCCCAGCACTGAGAAATGACAAATAAAATGGCCAGGTGAAACACTGCCACCAGCACTCCACAGGGGTGATGCTGCTCCTGGCGTGGTTATTTTTCCCCTGGATATACTGAGCACCAGAAGCACGCACTGGCGATAATTTTTTTTCCATCCTTTCTCAGCACTCCTCCCAGTAGGCTTAAAATAGCAATGGCCAGATAATCATTAACCACTTTGATGTACTGCAATGGGTACAGATTGGGAATTCAGAAGGAGAGGATAAAGCTGGAACAGACCTGCACTCCTGGTTCATCTCCAGCAGTACTGTCCTCCTCAGGGTAAAGCCAGTTCAGCCCGGCCTTGCACTTGCTGCTCCTAGAGATGAGCTCCCATTAAAGCCAGAAATAGGAAACAATATTATAAATAATTGCTTAATATATTACTCTCCCCAGAGGTAGGGAAGAGAAATACATAGGGAAGAGTATTTCCTGCATATGTTGAGATGGTTATGGCTGAAGCCAGACCACCCTTCACTTTTTCTTAACTCTGTTTTTTTTTCTAATTTAGACTTAGACAACAGCAGAAAAAAAAAGTCAGGTGCCCTAAACCCAAAGCGCACTTGCTTGTTTCAGAAGAACAAGATGGTACTGAGCAAGCTGAGGAGGAAGCTTGCAGCTGGGGAGCATTTCTCCACTAGTTGCTGATAAAGAAGAAATGCTGCTTAGGCTCATCCCAGTGATGAGATGTAACTCTACAAAGCAAAATTGCAAAAATAAGTGTTGTGAAATAGGAAATAGACCCTTCAAAGGGTCTTTGGAGAGCAGTCCCCAAAGGGAATTGGTGGGAATGCTGCTGTTTGAGCACTGGAGAATGTGTTATGCAGAACCATCTTCTACAAACCTGCAGAAACAGGCATGGGGATTTAATTTCCATCTCTGATTGCTGTGATCTGCATCTCACTTTAGGCTTGCTTTTATGTTCATGTAGCTTTTAGCAGCAGAACTCTCTGGGCAGTGAATCCTTCCTGTGTATCACAGCCGATGGTCTGTTCCTGAGCTCTCTGTACAGCCAGCAATGAGACTCCTTCTCCTTTGCTGTACAAAGGATTTATTCCTTTAATATGCCCCTGGTGTTTGTTTTTCTGCTGGTACAGGAGTGCATGTGCGCGTGTGTGCATGTGGCAGTGTTTTACAAATTCCTGCTGTGGACAGAATTGGGCTTCACAGTATGCAAAAATAGCTGTGCACCACATGCAAGGATATAATATTTCACACGGCTGGAGAAAATGTGATAAATAGAGTTTTTGCTGGATTTGCAAAAATGAAGTAACTGGGGGATTCATCTCCACAGTTGAGTCCTGAGGTTACAGGAGCTGGCAGGACTGTCTAGGTTGGAGCATCCCAGTTAGGGAAGAGGGACTGGGTGCCCGTGGAAGTGTAGGATGTCTATGAACATCTCTTGACTCTGAAGAGATAAGCTCAGATTTCATAGATCAGTTATTACAGAGCCCAAGAAGAAGGACTTAACTTGAGTCCAGGCTGCAGCTACAGTTTTTCTCCTCTGCCTTTGCCTGGAGGTTGTTGCTCTTAGTTCCTGCTCCATTCTGCTCTGTTCCTGATCCTCCATCACCGATGCCTCCAGCTGCTCGTTAGACAAAACCCAGGTCCCGCACTTAACCACTTTGAGCCCTGCAGGAGACCCTGCTGTGCAGCGAGGTGGAAAGAAAGGCAGGGATGCTGCAGAGCTGGGAGGTTTCTGCTCTACCTCCTTGTTGCTGGGGATGCACTTGTATGCTGAGGAATGAAGCTGTTGAGAAAATAAGGCACCAGGGTCTGAGATGAGAAGGGTAGACCAGAGACACAGAGCAGAGGTCCTTGTATGAGGCTAGTTCTTGGTGTGGAAGAGGTTGGCAAGCTGGGAATCAGAGTAGCTGTGCTAAGCTCTGATCCTTTCCCTTTTGCATCCTGTGTGGCAGTATGTGCCAATGCTGGCTCCTTACCACACTTGTGCTGTTCCAACAAGATCCCAGTCTCATCAAAGGTCAAAAACATGCACAGCTGAACCGAGCCCTCAAATTGGACCTCACATGGGGAGTTTGAATGCCAAATGGTCCTTCCCACGTGCTCCTTTCTCCCATCTAATCCTTCTCTGCTTCCCTTCTTCTGGTTTGTCCTGTTCCCCCCTCCCAGGTGAAAAAGGTTCATGGGCCCTGCAACCCTCCTTTGCGTCCCCTCCAGTGTGTAATGAAAACAAGAACCAAGTAGAGCTGAGGCTGGTTTTGTAACATAAGCAGTTATTTACGGTTTTGCTAAAATTTCATAGAAGATGACATTTCTAGGTCACCTAGCTGAAACAAATGAAACAATTAACATGTTTGCATTAGGTTTCATAAAAAGGGGTATCGCTTTGCCCGGTGTGGCGCTCAGTTCCTCAAGTCCTGAGACCTGATGTAGTGACCTGGAAGCTGAGGTAGTTTCCCACCAGGGTTAGCAAGAGCAGGATCTGTTTCCTAATCCGAGGCAGTTGGAATGGGTGTCTTTTACCATATCCACCAGTGTCCAAATCCAGGGTCAGTTGTCCCAGTGCTCCATCAGTGATAATGATGGGGCTAATCTGTGGGTGTAAGAGCAAATATCATCTCCCCAACACTGAAAGTATGATGCCAGCCTTCCCTGTCCCATAGGTATTATTCTGCCTCTAAAAGCTTTTAAATCTTGAAGCACAGCTAAATACACTATTGGGGGCTCTACTGTGGCTTTTAAACACTAAGAGTTGAGGACTAAAATGTAATGGCTCTGTCCTTCCCTAAATAAAGTGATGGCAAAAAACTGTAAAATGAGATCCTGAGCTTGTGTGCAGAGAGGAATTTAGTCCCATGGGGAACAGGAAAATAGCAGATGGATCAGAATAATACTGGGTTTTCCTGGATACCTTATTTAAAGCTATGCCAGAAAAAAGTGAGCAAGCCAGGAGGTTCAGTGTTTTGGCCACTGCTCATAAATATCTCTGTCACAATCCAGGACACAATTTGTTCTCCATCTTGCTTGTTCCTAGGGTGCAAAGAGCCAGCCCTGTAGGCTATGCATTGGTATGACTGCCTGGAGGAAGTGGACAGAGAGGGAAGTGAAATTTGAGGACCTTTTCCTTGATGGACTATGAGTATGCAAAAACCTGGACCCCAGGCACACACCTGCCACCCATGGTCAGGTTTGTCCCTCCATGTCTGGGAGCACTGGGAAGGAGAGTCTTGTGTCTAACACCGCAAATGCCCACTGCTTGCCAAGTCCTGGGAATTACTGCATGGCACTGGGCTCAAGCCAGCTCCCAGGGAGGAACAGCACCTCCACAGCTGGCACAAGCCAGCCTGCACAGAAATTCCAAGGGCTGCCACATCTGTGCTCGCCCTCCTGCCTGCCTGGCTTTGAGGAAGCCGCCCTGGGCTGAGTGGGACTCCAGTCTGCAGCAGAGGCTGTCTCACAGTTATACCCACCACCAACCTCACTTTATAAAACAGGTAGCAGAGAAACAGAAACCTGAGCAGTGTACCAGTGATATCCAGTTGCCAGCAGAGCTGTGTTCGCTGGTTGTGGTCTAGTGTGGGTCCTCTAGTGCCTAGTAAGAGTTGTGTTCATTTAGCTTTTCCTTCAGTGGTGATTAGGCACTTCTCATCTACCCAGCTATCTCTTCCCACAAAAAAACGTAAGACCCAAGTATTTGAGACCATTACATCCCTGTCAATCTCTGTTCACATCAGCCAAGCATTATTAGAGGGAAAATGAATGGAGGCAGCATGATTGCCTAAGCCAAACCAGGTAAAAAGGAACAAAGATCAAATTGGTGGATGATGGAACTTCTGCCGGGCCATGCTGTGCCACCTCGTGCTGTGCTGTGCCATGCTTGTGAGATGAGGGGAGGAGGGGAGCCTTGCTGATGCTGTCTCTCTCTTTCAGGGGGAGTTGCTGAGCCCGTGTCGATGCGATGGATCGGTGAAGTGCACGCACCAGCCATGTCTGATCAAATGGATTAGCGAGAGAGGCTGCTGGAGCTGTGAGCTGTGTTACTACAAGTATCACGTCATTGCCATAAGCACAAAGAACCCTCTGCAGGTAAAGGTACTAGAGACATTTCAAAGTCTATTTATTCTTGTTTCAGTTTTTGTTTCTGGGAGCAAGTGGATTTTACCTGTGTGGGTTTTCCTTCCCTGTGCACAGGGATTCATATGTCTGAGGCATTTAGAAAGGGTCGTCGGGGGCTGGTTCAAAGAGGCCCCATATTCTGCTCAGTGGTTCCAGGGGAATCCTTCAGGAATCAGCTTTTTTTGTACTTGGCAATTCTTACATTCACTTGGTTTTTGTTGAAAATTCCAGTGTGACCACGATAGTGCTGTAACCCCCATAGCCATTCAAATGTGTTCATCCACTGGAGACCCCTGTCTCCAGGGGCAGAGCCATTATGGGATTTACTGCAACAGAGGACACAGTCTGTGACAGTGACAGAAGGGTATGATGAGACTCTACTTGTCTATAGTTGTTCCATCAACCTTGATCTCCTCCTGCTGAGACTCCTCTCTGCTGGCATGAAGGATGGAGGAGGCAGATGGAGGGTTCTTACAATTCTCCTCTTGCCACCTTTTTCACTTTACTGCTCTCCCATGATTGTGGCATGGCACAAGGGGTATTGACTCTGATACTCTGATCTCTCCAAGCCTTATTCTTGGTGGGCTTTTGGAGATGTGCGCACAACAGGTAAAGCACATCTTGACGTAAGTGGCTGTGAAAGTCATCCAAGGACCCACCTTCTTTCTCTTCTGAGTTCAAAAGCATTGTGGTTTAATAGGCCCCACTGCAGACTGGTAATTTAAAATCAAGATTCAGAAGGGTAAAACTGTGTGACTATTAAAAGTGGGATAAGTTATCCTTAATAGCTATTGGTTTATTGCGGGAGCAACACCTGAAGATGGATTAATTGTTGCATGCCTTTGCTGAGCACCATTAATGCCTCAGAGGTAAGGAAGCACATCACATCCAGGCACTACTGCTTAATCAGCATCATCTGGACTGGAAAGACATTACAGTGGTTTAGAGACCAGGGTGATGTCTGTAGGGATGTCGGTCTGTACAGTTCCTGGCTCTCTGCAGGTCATTCTCTACCAGGAGGCAAGGACTGTGCTAGTGATGGTCCCTGGTTGTACAGGGTTGAGGAGGAATGCAAACTCCTGCTCTCTCCTTCAAACTGTGGCCTCTGTGTGTCTTTCTCCAGGCCTGAGGTCACTAACCACAGTGAAGAAAGAGGGACAACCCTTTAGGATTTCAGACTTAAATGAAATAGGGAAATTAGGAGAGCATCATGGGTAAGATTTGCTGTTGGAAAGGAAAAAGCCTGCGTGGTCTCTGAGAGTCCCTACAGCTTCTGACTGAATTTTCCGTGAGCCCTGGTTTGGAGATATCAGTAGTTTAATCCCAAGCCTCAGACCCAGACTGTTTCAATTTTTTGGCCCTAGTAACTCAGAACAGATTGAAACACAGGAGGAGGGATGTGGACCAAGCAGCATTTGTTTATTTCTGAAAAGCTGCTCCTTGACTGCCCTAATGCTTCCTATGTCTCAAGTCGAGGATGTGATGTTGAGCAGCACTGAAGGTTTGTGGGTGCAGATTTGGGAGCGTGTGTGTTGCCAGCACTTCCTTTAATTAATGACCTCCAAATGCTCTGCACTTTCAGGTTGTTTAGAGAAGTAGGTCAGTGACTTTCTTCCCATTCCTCACTCAGCTAAAATTTGTTGGAGCTGTTCACAGACAAACTCACATCCCACATACATGTTTCAGAGCCTGTGCAAAGCATTGCTCTTTCTGGGCTCCCCTGTCAGAAAGTGGCCTGATCTGCTGGCCTTTGCCATGAACGCAAAAACTGAGTGGCAGGAACAACTGAGTTAGAGAGCTCAGCTCTGGAGAGCAAAGGTTCCAGAGGACTGTACAGATCCCAGCTTGGACCTTCATGTTGCTGACTTAGACTTCACAGCACTTCTCGCAGAAGCACTGGGAGATTTGAAGGGTGGGAAGAAGCAACTGGAGTGAAAAGCCTCTTGGTTCAGATTAAATGCAGCGTGTGTAGAGTTACAGCTGTGTGCCTGGATGCCTGTCTGGTGCCAGCACAAAGGCACTGCTGGGAAACAGATGCTACACTAGCACTAGTTTCCAAAATGCTGTGAAAAGTGGCTGATCCACCAGGCCTGGGCTTCCCATGAGGACTGAAGGCTTGGGCCCCTCATAACCCATCACTACGCATGCCTTGTTCCTCAGTGGCTCTCACCATCTGGTGAGATGCCAGGAAAGGGAGGCAGAGAGGACACAGGAGCTGCAATGCCCTGACACTGTGTCCTGTAACAACATGTCACAGCATGTGCAGGTGAGAAGAGCATCCTTTCTGCTTAGTCTTCACCCTACACGTGCATAACATGGGCCAGCTGGACATACAAGCATATCTCTAAGTAAAGCCTCAAAGTCCCTAACCTTTCTTCTCAGGGTCTGCTGGAACTTCTGCCCAGCTTTATTCTTACTAGAAATGTCTGAATTTCTCAAACACAGTTTTTGGAGCAGAAATGCTGTAAGAAGCCGTGGTCATCTGTTTATTCCAGATCAACCATAATACAGGCAAGGACCACAAACCTCACCTCCTTGTCAAATGAATACTGTTTGGGTGATGATGTGAGCCTGCCTGGATTCTAATCAACAACATGACCTACCTATCTCCTGTGTCCTCTCATCTGATAGACTGCTGGAACGCCAAACCCAGGCAGCTGGCAGGTCCAGGGCTCCCTGAAGCCTGTCCAGTTGGTCTGAGAAGAGCAGCACATCCAACACCCACATATTCCCAGGATCTGCATGTTTCTCTGCCCATTTTGATATCTGCACATTTTTTGGAGTGCTTAGGAGCACAGCATGGGCCAAATGTGTGTGGAGACCCATGGTGTGGGCAGAGAAGTTACAGCCGGGTTCCTGCATAATTAACACAGACTCCTTCCAGCCTCCGGGCTATTATGATGTTTCATACCAGAGAGAGACCTCTAGTCTGGTATTTTGGCAGAATTACTCTCTATAAATTAACCCACTCCATCCCCTCTCCCTGGACTGCAGGCATTTAAGAGCAAAGGTCTTAAAGCAGCAACACTGCTGACCTGCTGAGACTGGGGGATTAAAGTTGTTAGACAACATGGCAGGTGTCCTGCCAAGCAGCAGTCAAACAGAAAATGAGCAAAAATATCCCACCAGCTGTGAGCAACCAGAAGATTCAGAGCTTTTGTCCATCCATCCATCCATTTTCTTGCTCTCCAGTCTTCCAGTCACCAAGACAGGAGTCATGGGCGTGGAGGCTTTAAATGCTCCTCTCCGATATTGCACAGTAGTTGTGCAAAGCCCATGATTTTAAAAAGACCCTGAAGACACAGGTTTTTAGAAGCACATGATAGTACTGCCTGCACCCTGGTGCTGATACATAGTGGAACAGGTATCTGCCATGGAGTGGCTCTGCAGTGTATTTAATCTATACAGGTCCTTTGTAGTTGCTCCTGAGCCACATCCACTCTGATGCTCTATTTTCTTCTATTTAGCAAATAGAAAATCTGTTTGAACCAACCTTCCCAGACCTACAACTGTCTGCAGTCTTGGAGAGTTCAACTGATTTACAGTTGGTATCACTGACTCTTCCTGTGTTGTGGGCTGTTTCAGCTCCAAAGATTCTCAGTTATCCAGTGCTGGGGTTGGGATCCGGTCTCTTCTGGCTCTATTTTGTCTGTGGTGGTGCACTGTTAAGAGCTGATGAGTGCTCTTATATGGCCTCCTCATCAGGACACTCACATCTGCGTTCACAGAGTGTTTGAACTTCACTCACCCTGAGGTCACAGGGTGCTTGAACCTCAGCCTGAGATCCTGAGCTAAAAAGCTTGAGGCAAGTTTACTGATGTCTCCTGGCTGTCCCATCCTGCTGAATTGGTTGTGCTGAGTGTGAGCTTTGCCTGGTCCCTGCAGAGCTTCAGCTGTAGCTTGCAAGCAGTGGGTGCCATCATTGCAAGAGAGACTTCCTGGCCTGTGCATTATAATGGGAACTTTCTAGGATATCGATGCTTAGTCTTACCAAATGCTCTGGCACATGGAAGAGAGGGGTTTTCATCACTGCACGTTTCCATTACATGGCTCTACTGGACCCTCCCTCCTCCCTGTTGCCTTTCTAGTATCTGAATAAGCCACAGCATCTGTAAGTGTACAGCAGGGAGGCTATGCTACAGAGGTGGCATAACTTTGCTTGGTGAATTTATAAAAAGAAAAGCCAAAAGATAATTGAGGAGGATGGCCAGGGCCTTGGGACAGCAGCAAGGGGAGAGCCAGACCTAAGCAGTGCTAGAAATGATCCTTTCCAACCTTCTAGGAAAAAGCTGTTTTTGCTTGTGACCCTGGGTCTGAGAATTAAATTGCTGGCTAGCACAGCTCAGGATGTTAATGATACGTATTAAGGGGACGTGTCAGATACAGCAATAAAAATAAACTGAACTGCCTGAGGCAGGCATGGGGAAGCTCTCAGGGGAGTGTAGGAAGGCTTTTCCAGCAAACAAGGCTTCTTTGCAAGCTGCTGCAGCAAGACATAGACATCTTATGCAGGCAATAGCTGCCTTGAATCTATCAGTGCTGGTGCTTGGGAACCTTTGAAGACTACTGGTGTCAAAGAAAGAGAAATACAGATCAAGCCTTAAATATTATACTAATGACATTATTCATCTGTGTTACATTAGCAGTTGCAGGTTTTCACTCCAAGCCTTCAAGCAGAAGCACCGAAGCAAACAGAGAACCAGGTTTGTCCTAAGTACTACACGTAGGTTATGAAAGTGCAAGAGAATGAGTTACATGAGTGGCAGGCACTGGTCCCAACTGGGCCCCTGGCTATGGTCATCACAAATGTCAGACCTGGACTCCTAAGAAACCGTTTCTGAGGCATCTGGGCTGCAGAGCTTTGCAATTTGGGCAAAATGGAGAAACTTGGGGAAATTGATCTGAGAGAGAGTGGTGTATCGCACCTGCAGATGTGGGTGGTGTGCCAAAGCACCTGGCCAAGGGAGGTGATAGCAGAGGACAGACAGACAGCTCCAGACAGCTTCTTCAGAATGGGTCGGAGGGTTGGAGCCCTTTTTCCAGTGTGGATGGCAAACCATCACAGAGAGCTGCATGGGCATGCTCTAAAGCCATTGAGAGCCTGGAGCTCACAAAGCTGCTCCTGTTATCCTGCAGAAGCCTTTAAAGCTTTCTGTTACCACCAAGTCCTTAGTTCTGCCCCATTCTGCCCTGACAGAGCATCTGTAGAGCTTTCTACCTGCCTAAAGGTCACATCCCTGACTGACAACCTGAGTGCAGCCCAGTAGCTACTGAGAACTCAACAGTCATTATCAGCCAAAGGAAGAAGGGCTCATCTTTAGATCTATCCCCACAAGGTTGGATTGCTTGACACTATGATCTTGCTACAGCTTGAACATTTGAGCTGGAGATTTGGAGGGAGGGGGTCGTGTATGCAGCCAGGCATTCAGACAAAGAGCTTTGCGGGTTTTAGATGTACCAGTAAAGGGACTCTGCAGTGTTGCTGAGACCTTCCTTTGCAACTCTAGTGATGACCCAAGGATTAACAGGGTCACCTGCCAAATCCCTGATCTGCTGGTCATAATGGCAGTGGAGAGAGGTTAAGAAAAGAGGTGATTTTCTAAGGCCTGTTATGAAATCTGAAAGGCGCAGTGCTGTGATTGAGGTGGGCTCCCAAGGCCAGAAATGCAGGGACACATCAAGCCCAGCTCCTGCAGCTGGAATTCATCTGCACATTCCACCTCTGAACAGCTCTTGGACCCTTCTGTGTGTGCACTCACTGGGTAAAAGGCTTTATCTTCTGTCTCACCCCTTTTCTCCTCTCTGTTCAAAAACCTCATACCCTAAGTTGTGTAGCAAAATGGAATTAAAAGATGAGAAATAATTACTCTGGTTGTTGGTGGCTCATGCTAGATGTGGGGCGCTAAATCACAGTTCTTGGGGTTGCCAGAGAAGAAATACAATACTTATTACTTTATTTTTTTTTCCTGGAAAATATTAAATTCTTCTGCAAGCTGGTTATTTTCCCCAGTGTTCAGCGCTGACCCATTTACCTCCTTGCCAGAGGGTAATCACACCCCAGTGCCATCTCCTGAACAGAGTCAGGACTGCCGCTGTGTGTGTCACTGTCACTTAGTGCCAGATGCAGGGGGAGAGCCTCCTGCCCCCTGGCACGGCTGACAGACTCCAGCCTCTTCATTATCACCACAGCAAACTTCCTGGCAGCCACTGCCAGCTGAGCAGTGTCAGGCAGCGTCCCTGCTGCTGCTCCAGCTTCTCTGTTCCCAACCGAGAGGAGCAGGGTTTGAAGTTTGCACCCAGGTGTGACTCTCTGCACTCTACGTCCCATCCCCTTTGACTGCGTATTTAGTACTGCACCTAAGCCTCCCTTTCTCTGCAAAACAGTGGTGTTGGTTGTACATAGCTGCTAGTTGTTCTAGCAGTTCCTTCTTCTTTTTCTGTCTTTAATTGCTTCCTTGGAAGGACCTGTTGCCACCACAGGCCTTGCAGTGTGCCAGACAGATGGTGAGGAGTCAGTCCATTACCTCCTCGAGAGAGAGAAATGATGCAGAATGATTTGGCTGGCACAGGCGCACGCGGGTCAGTGTGAGGGACCTGCAGGAAAGCCTTCGCACGCAGCACCAGCCTGTGCTCCCTCCACTCCCTTCCCCTCGGCATCAGCCAGTTATTGGATAGGGAGATGAGGTCTGGGGAAAGCTGCAGTGGTGAAAGTGCAACCCCACACACATATCTAAGCTCCCTTCCTGGCACATGCATTTAGTCCTGGAGCTCTGAGCTGATGGCACTGCAGATTTGTCCTGCATTGGCTTATAGTGCTGTTGAGAACAAAGCTGAAGAGCTGATGGGAGGAAGGCATAGCTGCTGATCCCACCCTCAGAAAACAAATTTGGGGGCAATGGGTGCTAGGTGGCCTTTGCTCTCTTTTATGTCAAGAGAGGAGTTGCACAGCTGTGGCCTTTCTTTGACCTCCAGCACTCATGCACCCTGCCTTGACCCATTGGGACTGCTACCACCAAGCTTCCAGCCCTAAGGGGAGTCTGTTCACTACGTCAACATCTTAGTGGCACAAAGAGGCCACTTGTGTGGCTGGATTTGGTGGAGGCATGGAGCAGTTTGGGCTGTGGCAGAGTGGGAATGGGCTGTTGAAGGGATCATTGAGTGTCCCCAGTATGTGATGTTTGCCTTTGGCTGGGCCAGCTGCTGGGGCAGATGATAGGAAGGGGACTGGGGCTAGTGAGCCCAGAGAGGGGATTGGGTTTAGCTGAACCCAGTCCTGCTTCAGCAGGGAACAAGCTCTCTCTCTGTTCAGCAGCTCTATGGCCATTTATTCTGTGGCCAACTACGAAATGGCTGGTACCACCCACCTCACTGATGCTGCACATCCATGATAGACGATTTGAGGGCTGTCTGCCCTTGCGGGATGTAAGCCAAGGAGCAAGGCTGGCAGAGGCAGAGCAATCTCCTTCCAGTTGCAGCCCGCAGACCTCAGCCTCAGGCTGAAACTCTCATCTGTTCTTCTCCAAATCCAGCCCTTTTCAGAGAAGAGCATTCAGTTCAGGGGTCTGGTCTTTGGACTGGTAGCAATGCCATGCATGCCTGTACCAGACAAGCCACCTCTTATCCTTCTTGCACTTCAATCAGGGTTCAAAGTCCTCCCTACCTTGCAAAAAACATTCCTAATTCCTGACTGACCTGGGCATTAAAGAGTAACCCAGCAACTGAACTCCTTTTTACCCTGCAGAAGGATGGGACAAGCTTGATGGGTGACCCTGCTGTCCTAGGATATGTTTGACAATCATGCAGGGTACTGAGGTCTCAGAAGAGCTGACACTTCATGGGGACACTGGATTTGGGCAGAATCTAGGCTAAACATTTTCAATTCCTCTGAATATTCTGTACCTGCAGGAGGCTGAAGTCCGTCTTTGTTTATCCTTCTGCCAGTCCCATTGCAATTTCAAGGGCATGTATCTCACAGCTAGAGGTGGCCTATATACTTGGATGCCAGGAGAGACTGTCTCTCCCCAGCCTGTTTACGTGCTTGATTTTTGATTTGAAGGAGAGGCTATGGACCACGTCCCCAAGTCTTGTTAAAGACACCAATTTCTGCTCTTGGTTTTATAGGGCAGTTTTCTCAGCAGTGTAAATCTGAGTGAGGAGGTTTTATGCTGGATGACAGAGTCCAGGCTTAGGATATTTATAATGTAGCTTGTACAAAGCTATTTGACATAGTGAATGGATTTGGGGGAGTTATTTCTATTTTTTTCTTCTTCTGAGGAAGAAGCAATGACATTTACCTTGGAATACAGCCTGAATTTGTCATCACCTAAAGGCAGGGTGTCCTGACCAGAGCAACTTGTGTTGTTTGCAGCTAGTTCTGTGGGATGTGCATTGACGCTGCAAGATCCTACCTAGGGCTGTGATCCTGCCAGATCTCACTAAGTGGCACAGAGCCAGCTCATGTGAGGCCTCTGAAAGAAAGCTTGGCTCTCTGAGATGCTTATGTGCTAGGATGCCCTGGCTGAGGATGCTGTCTGGCCTCTATTTGAGGAAGCAACTGAACTTCCTGGTTTGTGATCACCATCACAGAACTACTGTCATGGGGATGTTATTTTTGGTGTATCACCCTTGTCTGTCATGCCTCGCTCAAATCTATATGCTTTACTGGTGAGATGCAGGATTCTTCTCCATCGCCTCTTAATCAGTGCTGTCAGGAAACACGGGGCCATGTGCTGGTGAACAAATGCCATGCTCCATCCCAGATGTGGACCAGGTAAAAGCACTTATGCTTATAGGCGCTCTTTGAGATCTCCAAAACCACCACAATGATGTAAAACAGTGACGTGCCCCAAGTAACTAATGTCTTATCTTTTTTCCTTCCTCCCTCCCTCTTGTCCCCTCTCCCTGTTGCCTCCTGTTGCAGTGGCAGGCCATCTCTCTGACAGTCATTGAGAAGGTTCAGATAGCAGCGGCCATCCTGGGTTCCCTCTTCCTCATTGCCAGTATCTCGTGGCTCATCTGGTCGACCTTCAGTCCTTCAGCCAAATGGCAGCGCCAGGACCTGCTCTTCCAGATCTGCTATGGAATGTACGGCTTCATGGACATTGTCTGTATAGGTGGGTGATCGTGTCTCACGGCGCAGCCAAGGGCGCCCACTTGCTCACCTGTGGAGAGGAGCAGGAGATGGCATGGAGAGCCAGCCCATACAGCTTGGCTTGGATTGAGCATCCATGGCTTTTCCTCCTCTTTGCTTTTATGGCACCTTCTTCACTGTCCTCTCTCCTCCTCTGGGTGGCCCCAGAGTGTCTCCTTGGCTGGGATGGCAGAGGGACCTGCAGCGAACCCACAGAGAAACAAATCTCACCTCAGATCGAAAAGTGGCTGGGGAGGTCTGGGGGAAGCTGGGAAGTATAAGGCTTTAGAGAAACTCCTTTCTATCTGGAATAGCTAGTTTAGGGACTGCCCCGTGGTTGGGCATGGCAGGGTCTCTCCACATGCAGCTCCTTGGCTCTCCAACCCACTCTCTCTGCCAGGCAGAGGTGGCAGCCCCTTCTTTGGTCCACCTTGGAGCTGCAGGTTCCAACCAGGTCATGGACCAGCCTGGGGTACTTGTCAGGTTACTGGAACAGAGTAGCTCTGAGGATGAAGCCATGTCACTCACAGTGCAAATGCCCGGAGAGAGAGCAGATGCTGGCAGCCTGGCCCCAGAAGTCTCCCTGGGAGCTCAGGCTTTAGCCCTAGTGCAGTTCTGCAGGATGGGGGAACGCAGCTGCCAGTACCTGAAACAGTTACTGAAACAGTCTGGTGAACACCGGCAACCTCCAAATGTGCTCCTGAGCAGTGTCCACCTGCACAGGCCACTAGGTAACATCAGTTCAAGTGACCCTGACAGGAAGCAAAAACGGGACCAGAGACTTCTTCATGTCTGGGTCCTCCCATCACTGGTATAAAGGTGGAAGGAGCCGTCCAAAAGTCAGTGGGAAAAGGCAATCCTCTTGACTTGGTGGAAATGTGTGTGTGTGTGTGGATGGAGCCATTCCAGAGGGAAGGATCACAGCCACCAGTTCAGCCCTCAGGAGAAGCAGGACAGAGCAGCAGTTGGTGAAATTTGGGTACAGAAGTAAAACAAACCCAGTGGCAGGGACAGAATTCTGGAGTGCACACCCTGGTATCTGGTTTCAAATGGCTCTTGGCTTCAGCAGCCTTCCAGCATGGGACTTGGGCCTTCCAAAACCGAGGACAATTCCTCCCACTGTTGCCACCACTGTGCTAGCAATGAGAGGTGAGCTTGGCCTGTAGAGATCATCCTGCTCCTTCATGAGATGCTGGTGGAGCTACCACATCTCCCCAGGAAGAAGTGGTGGCAAAGGGGCTGAAAGAGAGATGGGCAGCACCCACATGTTGGCTGAATAGCCACTGGTGATGTCCTCTTGCTGGTGGAACTGAAAGTGGAAAAAAGTTATCCCTACACATGTATGGTGTGCATTTGTTGGCAGAGGACAGAAGTGGAGAGCTCTGGCCTGGGCAGACATCAGTAACATGATTAACTGGCTTTGATAAAGCTTCAAGAGCTGAGGGGAACTGATTAGCTCATCTGTCAATAGCTAAATCCTCCCACACAGCAGAGAACAAACCATGCCAGTCTTGAACTGAAGGGGAATCAGGAAGACAGATTCAGATTTGAGGTTCATTTTTTTATTTTTCTGTTCATTTTTCTAAGGATCTGGCCTCTATTTCTCTTTTCCACCTTCTCAGAGGGAAAATAAGCCCATTTGCATCTCCACCAATGTCACTATTAAACTTAATGCCCTAAGCTGGGAGCTTTGACTTTTTTCCAGCCAAAGAACAAGCAGCCATCCCATTTGCAGGAAAATTTCAGAGTCGTGACTTGAGGCAGCCCCTTGTCTCATGCTCTTCCCTGCACAGCTGGGGTGCCAGGCATGCTGGCTTTCCCACAAACTCAAAAGCCAGTGGGAAGCATTACAGATGCAGTGAGTTAACATGTCTGTATGTGGGTTCTCTTGCCCAGCACTCAGAAACTACCCAGAGCTGGCTCCACTTGGGCTATGTGCAGCACGTCTGCCTGTGCTGCCAGGCAGCCCACCCATACTCAACCAGGAGAAGCGATGTTCTGGACCACGTGAGCCTGTGTATCCATTTCTGTACAAAAGTTCATCTGTGCCAGCACTCTGCCCCTGCCACTCCACGGTGTAAAACTTGCTTGTATAGTACATCTATGCTCTTTGCAGTCCCAGCTGCTGCTGCTCCCTGCTCAGCAGTGGAGACGAAAGGAGCTCTGAGCAGTGCTAGCTGAGGTCGGGTGTTCACTGTCCTCCCTGCCTCCTCCTCTTCCTCTGCCCAGTTTGAACTTAGTGACATGAGATTTTCATGGGGATCTGTGACTCCCTGACTGTTCATGTGGTCAGGTCTCTCCTCTGAGAGACTTCTCTTTAGCCCTGCAGGTTTTGGGGGGCTGCACTAGCTTGAGCCAAAAGGCTAGTCTGTCCCATTGAGAGGCCAGGCCAGGTCAGGCCAGTGGAAGTGATTCATCAAAAGTAATACTCTCCTATGAAGAAGGTCTGAGACTGTTGGGGTTGTTCAGCCTGGAGAAGAGAAGGCTCCAGGAAAACCAGCTTCCCATTACATAAAAGGACCTACAAGAGAGATGAAGAGGGACTTTTTACAAGGGCATGTAGTGATAGGACAGAGGTAATGGCTTTAATTTGAAAGAGAGTAGGTTTAGATTAGATATTAGGAAGAAATTCTTTACTGTGGGGGTGGTGAGGCACTGGAACAGGTTGCCAGAGAATTTGTGGATGCCCCATCCCTGGAAATGTTCAAGGCCAGGATGGACGGAGTTTTGAGCAACCTGATGTAGTGGAAAATATCGTTGCCCACAGCAGAGGGGTTGAAACTAGATGATCTTTAGGGTCCCTTCCAACACAACCCATTCTGTAATTCTATGAACACCACAACTGAATTTAATTCCTCATTCATTATAGTTTTGTGCAACCGTGATGGATGCAGCAATTCCAGCTCCCTAGAAGATTTGCAGTGAGTTCTTCACTGTGGATCAGCTATTCTCCCTCTCTTTATCCTTCTCCCAAACCTGGCTGCTTCATGCAGGGTCTTTTGATTACAACTGGGCAAAGCCAGCTTTGGAGATTGAAAGTTCTGCTGCTGACTGCCAGCATGGCCCGAAGCCTCTTGTTACTCCTCCCTGGGTTTTAGTTCCACTTCTGCAAGTTCAGGATAAAACCTCTCATGGATAATTGCAGTGACAACAGATCTTTAAACACTGGAGTGCTGTCTGTGCAATCCAATGTCTCCTCCTCTGCAGTACAGCCCTTTTCTCCTTTTGCTATCCAGCCTGTGGGTGTGTAGGAAAGATTTAGGAACTATGAAATGTTCAGTCATGGGGAAAGGGCAGGACATTAGGTGCACTCAGATCACACAGTTGTTTTTTCCAACTAATATAACACACAAATTGTCTGTACATTGTTTGGTAACAGGCCAGGCAGCCTTAGCTAGCAGAAGGTTATACTGTAGGTCCTACACTAATTCCAGTTGTTTCTTTCTCCAGTTTGACCCCCACGTTTTGCTTTCACTGGCAGAGGAGCAGAGGTTTGAAAGACAAGGTACTTACTAAAGAGCAGATGTTCTGAAACAGAGCTCCTTCAGTTGTCTTTGAATGTCTCATGTCCACTGGGTAGCCAGGGACATTTGTCCAGGAGGCCGGTTTATACACCCTGTCACTGGAGGTGCTCAGCAGAACACTTCCTCTGGCACTGTGGAGCCTCAAAGCTGGAGAAGTCACCAAATCTGCAGAGATCTGACTAACATCAAACAGGGAATACACACCTGCATCAGCAACTGCACAGCTGTTTTGTGTGATCTCCTCTCTACCAAGTCATTAAGGGATTTAGGTAGCAATTTGCCTAGATAGAGGTATCTGTGGCAATTTGAATGGGTAATCTCATGGAAGAACTGGTCTTTCCAATGTAGAGTCAGAGTAGAGGGCACAAGTGCTCCTTTGTATGTATAGCTCCCTAAGTACAGATCATTTTGTTGTTGTTACCTTCACTTGAGCTGTACTTGATCTGTAATAGTCAGAGTGTCTCAAAGCTGAGCTCTCAAAATACGTCTGTTAACTCAGACACTATTGATCTCTGCAACAAAATCCAGGGGCCCTGATTTTGACCCTCAGCCACTAATGTTCAGTAGGACTCTCCTTTTCTTTGGCCTTTGCTAGATCCTAGCATGCTCCACAAAAACAATTGGAAGGGACAGACACCATTCACCCACCATGGAAATAAAACTGCAACCAAAATGCAACCAGTCTGCTCCTCATGACCAGCAGGACAGATGGTATGGCCCCAAGGACCAGAAGCTATGTCCATCTGGGCAAGATGTGCAAGATGGTCTTTCAACATTGTTCTCCCCCTTGCTCTCAGACATCTAACAGGAGGGCAGGAGGAACTGGAAAGGATTGCTTGGGATTTGTGGGAACCTCCAGTACTGGATTTTTTTTTTAAGAACCTGTTGGAAATATGTCAAGAACAGGTTGCAGAGAGATGATCCCAGTTCACAAAGGAGGAATCGATTAAATGCTTCTTGATATCCAGCCAGCCTCAACATCTTTGATTCTGATTTCTTTCATCTGTGCTATATCTGGTCACATCTGTAGGACAAATAATGAGAGTTGGATTAAACTAGAACCTGGTGATGGTGCCAGCATAGGTATTGCTCTGCTGTGAAGCCACCTACAACACAAAGATTTAAGATCAAGAACCAGGAAGGGAATGAGAATTGAAACAGGGACTGTTCGTTTGATTAACTGTTCTCTCCACGGTCCATGAGAGGTAAATCCAGAAAGCTGGCATAGAGATTAGCAGAAATGAGGTTATTGAAATGCACAGATAAATGGAATGAGCCTTCGTAGGCCTCAGTTACTGAGTAGGGAGAGTAGCAGCTAAGAGCTGGGCTGTAAATCCTGAGAGATGCCTGCCTGTTAATTAAATGACAGTCCTTGGAGGAGAAAGGAGGGGTTTGCCTCTCTCTCTGTCAAGGTGCAATTAGGGAAAGTCAGCATTTGTAGATTAGGGTGTCATTTGGT